GATTATATTAACGTTATATATGTGTGACGTGAGTGCACACGCGTTCCAGACGATTCGTTGGTGTGCGCTTTTATAATACCTTCGTTCGAAATTCGAATTGGCCAGTAACATTGAACTAGGCCTCGAACTCACCCACATGTCGTTACACGATCTCGCATACTCATACACACACACACACACATCTCGTATCTACGACCAACTGTAAAAGTGTAATACAATGTGATTATTTGGATGTCGAATGCGAGACATGTATCTACTGATTTTTTGGAAGTTGGAAAAGTCTAGATTTTTATTTGGTAAATGTTTCGAAAAATTTCTTGCATTCGGATTAATCGGAAAAAATCATAATTTATTTTGATAATATTTCTCCGTCATAAATAACCCGTGGTTATTATTTTAATATTTTAATTTAAAATAAAATTAAAATTGTATTTATTCGTTCATATTTCCGAGGTATAACAAGGATGAGCCCTAAACGAGGACGTCTCGTCTTTGGATACCTTGTTAAAAAGTTTAGACTTCTATTGTAGCATCTTATCTTACTGCATTCATTAAAATACGCATATATATATATATACAAAATTACTGCGAATTACCTGAATCTTTTTTTTCTCCGCTCATCACGCATTCGGTTCGTTCAATATTCGTCAATGACTTTAAAGTGTATAAGAATGCACTTATTCATAACATTTTTAATACGTGACGAATATATAATTTAAATGAGTGTTGTGCGATTAAGTTTTGTCAAACCAGTTGGCCTATAGAAGTTGGCCAAGATTTATTTATAAATTTACGATTAGATAGGACGCGTTAGATCATCAATATTTTCATACTAATATAAAATCGTCTCTTTTGTACTAAATATTTTTAGATCTCTTCTCAGTCACTTTACCGTTTTATAATAATTTATTCAAGAGCATTATTGTACATACATTTGATTGATATGTCCATAAATTTTTATTGTTCTCTGAATGTGGAACGATTGAAAAAAAAAATACATGATACGACGGCGTGTGTCTTAACTAATAGTTATTCAAACCATATTAATAATATTGATAAAAAATAAGGTTCATATCATGTTTTTCGTAAGAAAAAAATTGCTTTACTGAAACGGTCTAAAAAATATTATCAGTTTTTAATTTACCCCGTGTCTAGTTGAAATTATCTTCGTGTAATCGGTAGTTTAAATCTTTTTTTTTTACGCGAATTATTATTTCAATTAAAATTGATTGTAAACGCTTTGGAATGCAACTATCAAAATGTAATTTTTTATCACACACACACACACACACACACACATATATATATATATATATATATATATATATATATATATTTATAAAGCTCTCAGCGTCTTTTCTCTTCCTATTTTAATCGTTGTTTTGTAAATTTATTTCACACATTTTACGTTCCAAAAACATACATTTATATTTTTGGAATCCGTACGCTCAAACTATGCTAACACGAAACACACATATCGAACTACTGCATTTCGCCGCACACCCCTATTAATAATAATATTAAGTCACACTTTTGATTTTCGTTGTCTTTCTTATGCGGCGTTGTCCTTTACACACACACGCACGCACGCACCCCGAAACCTCGACATCTCTGGGGGTTCTCTTTTATTGTGGGGTTGATTTATTAACCTGTTTACGCGGTAAACGTGTGTTGGGGCACCGCCGTACACCGTGGTTACAACGTGCGTTCGAGATGTGCGCCTTTGCTATACGTTGCACGTCAAAATTCGCACGGTTTGGTTTGGCGCGTGAAAATGCGATGGTCTTCGCGTGCACCAATAATTATAACACTATGTGTACCGGGGAAAACAACGGTGATAACAATGCACGCAAGTCGCGTGCATTCTGTGCGTTTCCAACCGCTAGATTATATTTTTTGTTGACCTACGATAATAGCGCATAGTTTAAGCACCGCGTTATCGTGTGTTTCTGTTGGTGTTGTTGGTTTTTTTTTTAAATATTTATTTATTTTTTTTTTTTATGGTTTTTGGACGTCGGTCGGTTTTTCTCTGCTGGCAGCCGTCGTACACCCGTGTGGCACATCCGGCGTAACGTTGCGTGCTTTTAAAACGTGTCTACATGTATTCGCTCTCTCGACCCCAAACAGTGCGCGTACAAAAGGACCCGATGCGTGCGCAGTGTTGCCGCGTCGTTCGAGAGAAATAAAATAGGCCGATGATCGATCGACGACCACGACAAACAATCCTTTACGGTATTTACATCGATATTTACCTGATGAGCGTGTATAACAATTCGAAAAATTAAGTTCGACTTATCCGTCGTATTTTCTCTTAGGTCCCGCGGCACGATTTTACCTGCACTCCGTCACAGTACACGGTAACACTGGGTTGTTATTGTTATTTATTTATTTTTTTCTACGCACGAGGGTTGTGCAGCAGATGTACATGCATATCCGGTTCTTTGGCCGTGCGGCACACGTTAGTTTTTATCTACTGCGCAAAATATCGCCACCGCCGCCACCGCTACCGTCCCGATTGGGCTAGGTTAGGGTTTTGTGTTGCAGCACGCGAATACGTTTTCAAGACCTGTGTCGCATATGAGTCCCGAGAGAGAGAGAGAGAGAGAGTTTTTTCCCCCCTTTTTCCGATTACACGTAATTTAGGTCCATTTATTCTTGAGCGTATTTATGCATTTTGTTACATTTCTTTTGTTTTTACCACCAGCACTCGTTCTGAACCGACTCCTTTCCGACCATCTTCGGTTGACGACTACCTCCTACCGTATTGTTACTGCGGTAGCCGTGTGACCGGCCACCAAAGACATATTATGTATGTCCTATTATCAAATCATCAACCACTGCGCATTCCAACAATCGTTTCTCATGCGTTGCGCTAGATTTTTTGATGACAGAGGTAACCTTCGATTTTTCTTTCCTTCCTCCCTCGCGGAGTCGTGTTCTTGTTTTTTTTTTATTATTTATCCATATATTATAGTTCATTAATGCGATATCCTAAGAGTCTGTGATATATTGCGCCTAATACATGTGCAGTAACGGCGATGATTACACGTCATCCTTGAAATGCCGATTATAACGACGTCTGTTATAATATTCGACCATCGTAACGTATATATTGCACGAATGGAACCCATAAAATCGCTACACTTTAAAGTACGTTTTTATTTGATTGGGCGATTGGGATATATACGTGAATGTGAATTGTCCGGAAAAGGTTTCTTCTGCATTCCCGTCCGGCCGATCCACAAATATTATTTCTAACTCAATAACCGTGCGGTCGGCGCGACGGTTCTCCATCGATGTGTTTATACATTTCAGTCGACAGGCGGGTACTTCAAAACTAATACTACCAGAGAACGTTCGCCCGACTGACTGTAATATAATACAAATTATATCATAGTAGTAATAATAATGATACATTATATCGAGTACACATATTTATGTTACAGTAATAGAAATAATAAAAATAAAATTATATATGTTTTTCGTTATCACATCCGAGAGACGGTTAGTCTCTTAATTTCTTGTTACCATAATGTTGCTGAAAACATTATGAATTAATAGTGCACGGTGCTTGCGTTTCGTAATAATTAAAAATCTCATTAAATAATATGTGTACGAAAAAAAACAGTTCTACGAAAAACGTTTCTGTGATAACAATATTATTGACTTGTTAATACGTCGTGGTAAATATGTAATAATGTGCGTTTCAAATAAAGTGAGAAACGCCGCTTAAATACGTTTTGTAATTCTTCGCGATCCAAACGACTTGATAATCTTCTGTACTCGTATTATGTTTACCATGATAATAATAATGAAACATTTGATATGTTAATTAAAAAAAAATAATAACAATAATGAATAATGCTTGCAGCTGTCACCAGCTCTGTTTTATTGTTTGTATTTATGCTGTAATTAGTATTTTTTTTATCTCTCTTTAATTTCTGTTTACAAACAAACGTATTGAGTTTACGTTTGCGGTTCGGTAACGGATGTTGTAAATCCACGTTAGGATTCGCTACGATGTTTCTTTATTGCATCCTGGATGGATCACTTGCGTTTTCGTCGGTCGTCCTGCGTCCGCACACACCAATACAAGTTTGATCGGTTCTCGACGTATACGCGTTTGCTCCCGTGCAGGCCAAGTCGAACAATATAATATTAATAATTTTATCTCATTTATTCCACACGTCTCTCAATGTCCTGTGTGCAGGATGGTATTATAATGTTTCGTTCCTCGAGTACGCACGACGTTGTGTTACGCGGGCTGCTCGTCTGGCTGCAAGACCTGACCTACCGACCGCGCACCGACCGACGACCCGAAATGAGCACACTCGAATGTGGCCGATAAGGATCGTAGTCTGTGTGTGTGGTACGAGTTTATTTTTACGTCTATAATAATAAAACACTCTCCGGCGAAACCGTGACCGTGTCGCGGTTGTGAACAAAGTCTCGTAGGCGTCAAAGACGGTATTTTATTTTTTTTCCTGTGCTCCGAGGTAAATATAGTCACTTTTAGAACGATGGCATATCTATGTACCGTATAGGGTAATTAAAAACCCGGTGTGGAAGGGTCCTGCGGTGCATTGCGTGTGATTAATACTGTGGAGGGGTAGTCTATGAAAACGAAAACGCACGTCCGGTGGTCGGGTCACTCCCACACCTGACAACGCGCGCTCCGTTGGGTTAGGTTAAGGCTTATTTTTTCTCTTCTTCAGCTGCTTTTTATTATTATTACTATCGTCTTAGTGATTATTATTATTCTACTGGTTTTCTACGAGAATCCATGTCCACGGTGGTGTTAATCGAGATTGACCGCAAGTCATCGTTGTGTACGTTTCCGTGCCGTCCGTTATCATAATTCGTTACAGACTATCACCGCGCTATATTATGCCGTCAAAACAAGCACGCGTACACACAATGATACATTATTATTATTATTATTATTTTTTTTTTCTTCCACTGATTGTTTAATACTGTTGTTTTATTTTTTTGTCAAATAGGCAATCGTCCATGAATGGCAATGGAATATTTTGTCGCCGTCTGGACTTCAGTACATTTAACCGGCTACCTCGGAACATGCTCAACTCCTATCACGTAAAGGTAAATAAAAACAACGATAATATTATACATTACTATAACATTTAAGTTACACGTTTTCTGTGGAGTGTACACAGACTAGTTTCCCTCCTCTCCCAGTAACACCGAGCCGTTACGTGGAGGCAGAAAAGTGTTTTTTTTGCCTTTTCACTGGTTTCCGTTAATGCACCGTTTCCGGTGGTCTGTTTTGTTTTCTATCAACCACCCGGTACGCGTGTACGAGTATGAGTGCTCACTCGAACTTGTCAAATTTATAACTTGACGTATCGAAAAAAAATGTGTCGAGTCTTTCTGTTCGTCTTCCATTTGGATGGATGATCATCGCGCGCGCGCGCACAACATGGAATAAGCGAATATTGTTTTATTTTTTACGTGTTCATTCTCGTAGTCGACACGAGTTACATTAAAAAATTGCGTGCATTCGTACCGATTATTATTTATTTTTTCGTTTCGTTGTTTCCTGTTGGTTAAGAACGACTTCTGGGTAAACATATAGAATAGATAGATAGATAGAATAATATATTTCGGTTGCCGCCACAATAACAAAAACACAACGTGGCAAGCATTTCACATTGTTGACCACATCAATCGTATTGAATTATTTATGAGACACCGCCACCGATACCGCCACCACCACCTACACCAGAAACAAATTGATAAAAAATTTACCCAAGGTCGAGCGTATTTATAAAATAATTTATTTAAATACACGTCGTAATCCTCTGCGCAGGATGTATGTAAAGATTGTTTTTTTTTTACATTTCCTGTCAATTATGGTTTCGACAATCATAATTATTATTTCAATAAAGACAAGTAGGAATTGATCCGCAGTGTTACTCAAACAACCGCCTTCGTAATGTCGGAACGATTGAAACGACGGTGAACACAGTGTGTACTGCAATTTACTTGCGCAATATTATTATACTGCTACTATACGAAATGTATACTACTACTTGAAATTTCATTTTCCTGTCGAAGGTGTACTAATTATATTATTTGTCACGATTATAAATTAAATTAGTCGAATTATACGTAATGTGTATTAAGTTGATATAAGTGACTACTATTTTATAATTCTGTCAAATCGTTTTTATGTTTTTTATCGATATGTATCTGCTATAAAGCTACGCCGAGCACATTTTAAACGACAACGTTTTTAGATTATTATTTGTAATCTCGTAACGGAAGTACAGTTGTAGTGTTCGAATAATTTTATCGAATACCAAATATCGTAGACTTCGAAAGAGAATTAACAACGATATATGGTTTTTAGCGTGGATTATATTTATTATAAAAGAAATATTAGCGTATCGAGTGTATACGGTTTTATTCTTTTATTACCCACTCCGTGGTCGATGTAGTCAATTATTTTTATTAGGTCTTGTGAACGGCCCCTCGAATAAATTCACTTTCCGTCTGGTCGACGGTCAAGGACGCGCACGGTTGTCGTGCAAGTCGGCGGATTAGGAAAAGAGACACGACAGATCATTTTCGAACGTTAAGTTTTTTTAACGATGCAACGTAATTCCTCAACGTTTTTATTATGTTTTTCCACTGCGAGAACGGCGTTCAATTCACGAACCCAGACGTCCCGCAGCCGCGTACTAGTCCGTCGCGCCGAACACCTAAACGTGTTTAATTGGTCGGGGCTTGGAAGTAATTTATTACGTTTTAGACACCGCTTGCGTACCAATCTAATTGGGTGACGTGACTCTGCCATCACCCGTCGCAATAAGCCGCGTCCACACCAGACCTCTGCGTATGCAGGGGAGGGTTTAAGGAGGTGGCTAAGGGGGAATTATTAGTCCTTCCCCCTCCTTGGGACTAAGCTAACTACTTTACAAAGCCAAGTATTATGATGCATTGATATGTTAATAATTATTGTAGAATATCGTTAATCGTCATTGATGAAATAGTACCCATTTTATATATTTATTTTATAAATAAATATCTCATTTTTATTGTTAACAGTATGTGTATACCTATATCTTTCAAATGGTTTCAGATGAAAATCGATACAAATAACGTAACTATTTAAAATTTGTCACTTTTGTGAAAAAAATTACTTACCTATGAGGGACTCAAAAACTTATTCTATAATTTAAAATTGCATAGATATTTAAAAACAACTAACTAAATGTTGGAACTTCCATTAGCTCCTCCCTTGGTGAGTGATAAAACCCGGCCCTGTGTGCATGTGTGTTCGACGTTTTCGCGCGCTTTGCACTAGCAGAGTACTGGTTCGGTTCAGGTTCGCTGTTCGTCGCAAACGCTAGTGCGCTCTTAGACACACGCGCAACGTGAGCGTGTAGATCCGTGTGTGCTTATGCGGTTATCAGTGAGGAGGAGTGGACCCTCCTTAAGCCGCGTAAAAACTATAAATATGAACGAGCAAACGGTTTACTAATAATCGTTTTGATGATAATTATATGTCAAAACTGTTTACTGTTTACAAAAATATTTGCTCCTATAAGTTTGAATAAAATATAATGTTTGTTTTAATTTTTCCATCGATACTTATATTTTTATGTTATGCCACATTGTGGTATGAATTTTATAGAACTTAAAATTACTTCTCATGTGTCGAGCAATAAGAATATGTTTGCAAAATATTTTCGCCCCCCTCTTATGACTGCTCAAAAACCTCCGCTGGCAGTTATACGAATCGTAAAAACGACGAACTTGACGCACTCGTGCACGTAGTCGCCGCGATGATTGTCGTACGCGGTTGACGCGGACTCGCGATTCGGTGGATTTACAGCCTCCTCCTCCGCCTCGGGCAACCGAACAAATTTCGGTGAAAGTACGCGACTCATTGCCATACGATGTTATAACGTGCACACGAATCGTCATAATGGCGATCTGTCACCGCACAACGTAGGCGTACGATAACACAACGACACGTTGTGGTCCATCTTGGTCCGTGTACGCGCTTCCGGATTTCGACGAAAACGTATTATTTCGTACGAATCAAAGTACAGGTTCGTGTGTGTGTGTGTGTGTGTTTGCAAAACAAGAACAGCCGCGCGAAGATCAGCGATAATAACGCCACTGCTTGTAATATATTTTGGTTTTTTCGCGTGGTGATGTTGACGGCATGCTGTGTACGATATCGTTCGTTACCCTTATTTTTGCAATCGTTATTGTGGTATTGTGTACCGCCGCGTCGCCACGTGCTGACCGTTCGCGAGATTGACATAGATATCCTGTAGGCGGTGAGCTGCGGGTTCAAAATCGGTTTTCATAATCGGGAGTGTACGCGGTTTTGAATTTTTTTTTTTTTTAACAAAACGTGTATACTTTACTACAGTACTATGGTACGCCTTTACTCGGTGTTCTTCACGTGTCCGAAATTCGATTTGTTTTTTCAGTCCGTCTCGTTTTGGCGTTATTCTTTCGGTTGACGGAGTAGGCGGCGGTGAACGCGCCGGCGCGAGTGTACTCCGCGCCACCGTTTTTCGGCGCTGGCGAGCCGCCGCCCAACCGGGCGGTTAGGGTACCGCCCGCCGACCCCCCGGTTGTCGCGGAGAGTTGCGTGTTGGGCGCCCAAAGCTCTCGCGCTTGCCCGTCCGCCCCACGCCCGGGTCGCGCCAACCGCGAAAAGCGACCGTCCCCCGTGCGCCCGCCGCGAACCACTCCGCGGAAAAGGTCCCCCCTCCCACGCATGCGCGCGAACGCACCACTATCAACAGACCACCCGTTCGCCCGGTCGGACCGAAGTTAAACTTTTCGGACGGACGGTAAAAAAAAAATCGCTCGTTTCATTTTAGCCCTCGGAAACGTTTTCCCTCTTCTCCGCTGCGCGACGTTGACACATAACCCTCTCGTGCTCTTCCGACGTTCCTCGATTGCGCCACCCGGTGGTCGCACGTCGACGAATTTTTCGCTCCTCTCATCTCCTCTCCTCACCCCATCGCTCGAAAAAAAATCTCCCGCAACCACTCGTCAACCTTAAAAGTTGGGCCGTTATCTCTGTCCGTGTTCTCCGCCCTGTCGTTTCGTTACACGACCGTTGCACCGCCGAACCGCCGCCGCTATGACCAAATTATTGATCGCTGCCGGCCGGTCGGTCGTCTTTTTTTTTCCACCCTACTGCGCGAGTGAAATGTGCATCGATGCCGCCGTTGCCGTCGCCGTCACCTCCGCCGCCACCACCGCCGCCACTACCGCCGCCGCCGCCGGTCCCACGCACTTGTCTGCCGGTTGAGCGTTCCCGCCGCTGTTGCGATTGTGCGCCGACACCCGACTGCCGCCGCCGCTGCACGTCCGCGATCAATAATGGCGCGCGCCGTGCCTTACGCCTTTCTACCGTGAACGCCTCTTGCACGCGCGGTGTCGGACACGTTGCACTTCCCCGAGCCCGGAAAATCGGACCGGGCATGGGGCGAGAGGGAAAATTTCACGATTTTCGGCTCCGCCGCGGATACCCGTGCACACTGGCCGAATTTCTGATCATCGTTCAACTCTCCTCGCCGACCGTGTCTCCGTCTGTTGCACTCGGTCGGCGTAATTGATACGACGAGAAACGATTGCGATAATTATTATAATATAATAATATAATATATAATATAATTATCGATGTGTGGACCTTGGGAACGATCGTCGTCGTTTATCAGTTGTGTACGAAGCACGGGTGTGGCCCTGCTGTGTGTGCGGAGTGCGACATAGGTGTGACTGTGCACAATTGTATGTAAATTTCCCGTTAAAAGCATCGGAACGGAGACGGCGCGTGCTGCGTGTATGCACCGCCGATAAATGTCAATAAACAGCAGTCACGTCGTCGACGGGTATGAATTGTTATGGATTTCGCGTTTGGTCGCCGTAACGTGATGCGTCCAATGCAATACGGATGCGAACCTGTCGCTTCTTATTATAATGTGATGTGTTCGTGGATCATCGCGAGTCGTTTGTCGACATTGAACGCGTATCATTTCCCCCTGCGCTTTGCTGCGCCGACGAATGTATTTTCGGTACCGGGTCGTCGTTTTCGGAGGGTCCGTGTC